CCAATATTGTTCTTGATGTATAAAATTTTATATATTGTTATCTCATATATAAATCAATATATGAGAATAGAAACATAAACAATAACATTAATATTTTTTATAAAAATCAAATGAATGAAAATTACAAACAAGATGAAACTAGAATTAAGAATATGAAAAAATGCATAACACCAGCTGACAATAGCAAAAAAATTAGATTAATTATTTATTAAAAAATTTAAAGAACCTCTAAACTTATAGTTAAAAATAATAATTCACCTCTTACAACAAAATTAAATAGGACAAATATTATTTACAAATTTAAATGTCCATTAAGGAATTGTATTCCTGATCAATCAAAATTCATAATTATATAGGCCATACTACATGTTTGACATGAAGACTCACACTACACCTTTCTGACCATAGCTCAATTAGATCTCATTTAAATATTCATGGAGACCTACCGGACACTATTCGTAACATACTTGTTAGCAACACAAGTATAACATTATCATCTAGATGCCAAAAAGGGCTAAAAATAATGGAAGCCTTAATAAAAATAAACAAAAAAACCCCACACTCAATAATATCAGCTATGAACATGGGCACAATATCTTGACCTTGTTTTCAAAATGAAAACGTTATATAAATACAACAAACTGTTTTTTGTTAATAGTTAATATATTTAAACCTTGAAAATATACATATTGCCTAAAGTGCTCAGATAAAAAGAACAATTGGACAGTTTTTATATAATTTATCATCCGAAAAGGAAAAAATTATTTGATCACATGAGAAATTGTATAAAAAACTAAATATATGCACCTTGTCTGTTTTATTAAATGTGCATCAAAGAAGGATTTCTGCTTAAATATACAAATTTTATGTATGTATGTGTATGTATGTATATATGTATATTATTTTGAAATAGTGTATCTGTAAAGGAACAAAATGAATAAAAAAACATGGAAAACTACTCTTAGCTGACGCATTTCGCCTTCTGATTTTATCATTACAAAATAAATACATCATTTGCCTTTATAAAGTCCATCAAAGGAAAAAATATATATATATATATATATATATATATATATATATATATATATATACACACACACACACACAAATAAGAGACTGAACAGATGGAGTAAAACTTCACAGTTTGTAGCATTTACTTTTTAAAAGTGTGCTCAATACAAAGTAAAGCAAAATATTATAATATTTTTATTATAATAGATTACAATAAAAACATTTTACATTGCAAGTAACATTTTATTGGTGTGTTTATTAATGATTAAATAGCTTTTTTATAGTTCATTTTTTTTCTTTTTTTTTAACCATGCTAAATCCCAAAAAGTCTAAAATTATGATGGCCCTAACATTACTAACATTAAGATATGCAGAATTCATGTAAATAAAAAAATTATGTCCACATGTTCCTTGTCCTTCTTGATCCCAGCAAATACCATCTTAGTGCTTGATATATATGCTTTTGGATTCTTTAGATAAATCCATGGGGTGTTTTTCATCCAAATGATACCTTTGTTTTTATTTGCATCTGAATAACTGAATCCTGGATTTATTGGGAGACCAACTGGATGGTCTCCCAATAAATCTGTGAATGTTTGCGCTGGTCTTATGTTTGCCTCAAGGCATGGTTAAAAAAGAAAAAAAGAACCACAAAAAAATTATTTAGACATCAATAACACCCCCCCCCAAAAAAAATGTTACTTATGATAAAAAGTTTTTATTATAATCTATTAAAAATATCTATCTATATATATATATATATATATATATATATATATGTGATAGACCTGAGCAAAAATTAGTGAGACATTGTCTGAAAATTTCTTGCTATGTGAAACTGACAGTCAGCATGAACAGGAAGTGTTGATTTTTATGTCCATACTGTCTGCATCTCCACAAGCTTTATCTTCAATATTTCTTCCCATAAATATACCAAATTTTAAACATGTCTATTGACGGACTCTGATCTGTCTTTATTAAGAGACTATTTTCATTCTGATTGCTTTTTTCAACAGGTTGAATTAATTTTTCGTTCATTCACCTTTTATGCAACATTTTGCATATATGTATTGCCTAGTTTAGATATTTCTGCGTGTGTAGGTTTGGCCTTTCAGCTTGATGTAAGTATGTATTGTTTTGATAATGAAAAGATCTAGAACACCTGGTGTGTCTCCATATGCTACTTACCTGTTCAAAGCATTTGTTCTCACATGAATTAGCCATTGATTTTTTTCTCCCCCATTTATTTAATTTTCTGCACAGTGTTTTTGTGTCAGCACACACACACACACACACACAATGTAAGGATTACTTCGATGTAATCGACTTGCCTAAACTCAAATTCTCACTTCTGGGTTTCAATTGGTAGCTTTGGTTTGGCTTAAGTCATTGGTCTTAAAACTCTAAAGATAATAATGCCATCTTAGACACCTTGTTGAGTGCATTGTAAATGTGGCCCAACATTTGGAGATCAAATTTTATTATTTTTTGGGGTCCTAACTGTAAAATTTAATTTCTCTAATAACTATGATTATTGTCAGGTCTTTAATGTGTTTTCATATTTTTATTACAGCATTCCAAGTCAAATACTCTCTGCCTATTAAAATCAATAATATTATGTTAAAATAAATGAATAGTCTTTGTTTTACAAGGCTTCCACACACACATATATATGGAGGCATGGTGGGGTAATGGATAGTGACTCAGACTGAGGAATCTGAGAGCCAAGTTTGAAATCCAGTTGAGCTCATTACATTCACTTAACGTGCTAATACCCTTGGGAAAGGTATGAGTTCATCACTTCTCCTCCCAGCTATGGGTAAATAGCCAGACAGACTGGGACCTATAGCCTTGGGTGGTAATCGGTCTAGGAGAATGACAACTAAATTCAAAACTTGTGGGTGGTCATTTGAAGACCTTGTGGCATACTGTGCACCAGTTCTCTGTATTTGGCTCTGCCAAAAAGTGTGGTTGGTTCTGCACAAGTCTTCACCGCTATAATCAAATGATATGTCTGGGTAGTCTTGATCTTGTTTCTAAGAATTGAGCTGCTTTACCCCCATACGTTGAAAACAATGGCAGGGTCCAATATATATATATATATATATATATAGGATCATGTGAGTAAAATTTTTCACTTAGCTGATTGATGTTACCTTCAGCATCCCGACTCCAGAGCTTTGTAGATGAACCTGTTCATCCACTCTTCAGGGGTATTGCCAATTTATATATATATATGCATGTTTCATTAAAAACGACAGACAAGGTACTACGGTTAAGCTTTTTATTTAATTTTTCTTGTGTTTGAACAAGAGCTTTCTTTTCTGGACAAAGAGTGTGTAAAAACTGTCCAAATGTTTTATAGTTCCGAGCACTTTCGGTTACACCTTTAACCATTATCAAGGATGAGTCAATTTTTCAGCTTAATTGAGTGTGCATTATGTGTATGTTTTAATGTGTTATAGAAATGTTTTTAATTTCTGAATATGGTTAGCACATTGTGGCCTTGTTGGTGGTTATTATTGGTCAAAAATTGTGTAATTGTAGAAATCCTAATGAATGTCCATTACAAAATAGGTGTCTTACTGAAATTAATGTTTACCATTGTGCCATTTCATCTAGTGAAAATCCAACAGTTAAGAAATTTTATATTGGCAGTACAAAAATCCCTTTAAACTGATGTGGTATCAGTACATATCTTCTTTCAACAACAATGCCTACCGTATCTGAACATTCCTTTCTAAATATTTTGGCATTTAAAAGAAATTAGTGAAACTCCTAAAGTTAAATGGAAAATATTTAAAAAAGAAAAAAAAAAAAACGAATCTGTAAATCCTTATATGACCCGTGTCCCCTGTGTTTACAAGAAATGATGCATATTATAATGTTTCCTAACAATAATGTTTTGCTAAATCAAAGAAATGAATTAGCAGTTTTATGTAGGCATTGTCTAAATTTTACATTAAAATATAGTTAAAAGAATTCTTCATAAATATTTTATGCATTACAATTATGTAGTATAAAAATTTTAAAAAAATTCTTAAAGATAATATTTTTTTGTTCACGATTACTCTGTTTACTTCACCAAATCTGAACTTTGGATTTCACTACATTATGTTTGACACTGACATGTCTAGAGTGTCAATGTATCAAGAAATTAATTTATAATCCACCTCCCTCCATCCTCTGACCTTATTTTTTTTCTATTTTAGAATAGATCTTTTAATTGGTTAATCCAGACATACCCACAAGTATATATTTTAATTCTGCCATTAGCTTCCCCCACACTCCTTTTTAACTTTCAAAAGTGGTAATGATTTGTTTTCAAATTTCCCAAATAAATTATTTGTATTATGTTATCTCTCATTGCCTGATGAGAAACCATTAAGGTTCCAAAACATGTGTAGTGATGTAAAAATGTTTTTATTGTAATCTATTATAATAAAAATATTTTAATATTATATTTTGCTCCATGTTTGTATTGAGCCCTTTTTAAAAATTAAATGTTAAGAACTGGATTCTAACATCTGTTCTTTCTTTTTATATATATATATATATATATATAAGCAAATCTGTTAAGAGGCCGGACAAAATGGACGTATATCAAAAAGTGCTTGATGTAGGGCAAGTAAATATAATAAAGGAGTAAAACACTTTTATGTAACCAAGACACAACATTGGTTTCACCATCAGGTCTCTTTGGGTGGCAGGCAATAAGTGTTTGTAATACCATACTACAGATATATAGCTATATAATTTTGTGTGCGTCTTTTTGTTATTTTTGTCCATGGCACTTTCTTCCTGGCTGTACTTGTATCTTTATAAGTTGTCCACTGAATCTTTGACACTGGCTAATGCATTAACATGAGGTAAAACTGTATTCTGCTATTGAAGATTTAGTAATGTTGAATTTTAAAGGTTTATTCTTGAAGTATGAAATCAATTAAGAAATGGAGATGATCATTTTTTTATTTTATCTTTTTTTACAGGTGAATTTCTGGGTACAAAGGGAGATTCTCAGCTGCCAAACATTAAAGACAAGAGCAGAAGCATTAGCTCATTTTATCAAAATAGCCAAGGTGAGTTTTGTTTTAGTTTATTTAAAGCCAGCACAGCTAGGCTTTTCATGTATTGGTTTTGATCCAGACCACTGTATAACATCGTTAGTGTTTTTTGAGTTATCACCTTTCATAGGGTGAGTAAGTTAGCATCCCCTAACAGTATATTGACTTTATGGTAAGGGTGGTAGGGTCAGCCATTATCTTGACTACATGTCCTCATAATCTGCACACTTGTACAATAACCTCATTTATTAATCATCTACCTTGAGTTGTTCTTGTATCTTGGGTGATTAATTAATAAAAAAAAAAAAGTGTGTTTGTGGGTAGAAGAATAGTGGATTGAACTCACTCATGATTCAGGCTAGTTTCCTCCCATTTATTCTCTAACTAGAACTTTTTTTATAACACACTGACATGTGTTGAATTCCTCACAGTATTTAGTATTGTTGAAGTCATCACTAACATTTTTTGTCAAGATTTACAAACTCTACTCTCCCTACTATGTTCATGTGTACAGTGCCACTACTCTGCATTATATTTTACCAGAATGAAATAAATATATATATATATATATATATATAAAAACTTGAAGAAAAGAGATGCAAAAATCAATCAATATAAGTATTTGTTATTTTAATCATGAAATTTTTAAAATAGTGGGAGTATTTTGTATGCTAAATAAAACTTTTTAATTTTAAAAAAAAAAAAAAAAATGAATGTAAGTTTATTGTACTAAGCTATATGCACCCTAGTAAAACAACTGAAATCTTTACCACCTGTTTGCACTTGTTCCCAAAATTTGGTTTCAATCGGTCAATGTATGGCTATTTTAGCAGATGCGATGGAGGGATGAACTAGCAGAAGTCACTGATTTTTATATATAGATAAATAGGTGATATACAGTTCCTCTTTAATCTTGACACCCTTATGATCAGACCACATAAAAATGCCCAATGAAATAAATCACCCCTAAAGCAAAACAAAAAAAAAAGCAGTCGTATGTAAACATAATCTGTCCAGCTCATTCCACATATATATTTCTGTATTATCAAAGGTAGACCAAAGCTTAAAGCAGGATATGAAACAATATTAATACTTCCAAACAAGGTTTTATGTTTTATTGTTTCAAGCAATAAAAATGATACCCCCCCACAAAAAAAAACCCCGGGTCTTTTGATCAGGGTTTCATGTTTATCTTTGTTTCCTGTTTAGGATTGGGTTTCTGGTTCCTTCTAGGGTCTATTTCAGTTCTATAATTCTAACATCTCCACCTAAACTCTGATTTTTTTTATTTACTAATTATTTATTTATTTTTTTTTGTCAGTAGGAGTAGACAGGTTAATCTATCATCCAGTTCACACTCCTCCCTCATTTTTGTTTCCTGTTTAGGATTGGGTTTCTAGTTATAAGATCTGATAAAGTAATTTAATTTATAGTTGCCCACTTAACCTCAAATATCCCAGTACATTTTCATTACACAGTTTTCCAACCTGGAGGCACTAAACCTAACACATGCTCGTGAAACATATTGTTAAAAAAGGTTTTTCACTTTTTCCCATTCTCTCAATATAAAGAAAATTTTATTTTGCCAAAAATTCGCAATTAACCAAAGCAATTCTGAAAGCTGTCCTGGGTATGATGATAAACTACATCCATGTCCAGAGTAAGACAATAAACTACGTCTGACAGCAAGGCTTCTGATAAGATGGTTTTGATGAGTGTGGAACCACCTCCTAATTGCTGGTGTTTCCAGGTCCACCCTGACCCAGGGTGGTAGCACCTGTTAGGGTCCCAGTTATGGGCAAATAGTTAATCCCTCAACTGGGGGGGGGGAACTGTATTAAAGTATAAAAGTAGGTTTTAATACTAGCTATAAGGTTTTTGAGGAAAAATTATACCAGCAATATATTTTTGAAGAAAAAAATATTATTACCAGCAATAAAAGTCTTGTTGGCATTAAATAACCAATTGAGGTTGATATGCTATAAACCAAACCAATTTTGGAAGACAATGCGTCCAAAGCAAGTGGTCTTTGCAACTACAGAGCTTAATATTAAGAGATAGAGCAATAGTAATTATTAGTAATGAAATTCAATAGTTCATTTATAAGAATCTCTATTCATAGTTTCATGGATTCTTTTTTTTTTTTTTCTTTTTACATCCAATCCTCAGCAGATTTCTAGTGAACTATATCATACTTTTCATTTTTTTTTCTATTAAAAAATGTTAGAGAAGAAAGAAAACATGATAAATAAATTTGGTTCACAAAAAAAAAAAAAAATGCCGAGGACTGGATCTAAAAAGAAAAAAAATATTCTATAAGCAATAATAATTAGTATCTGTCTATATTTTTCCTATTACGTACATGTTATACTGGAACATACCTATTCTATTGTTAATAGACTCTCCCACATATAATAAGTAGGAGTGGTAGCAGTTGCCAGTGAGTTGGTCAGTCAGTCGATGTCGGACACTAAGAGTATCAGCAACCACCACTAGATTTCTCTGGGCATTACCTATTATCTCAAGTTCCTAACGTTTTGTACGTCGAACCTTTTTTAGGACCGACTTAGTGAAATACAAGCCTCCACTGTGAAACTACTCGACAACAGTACACTATTTACATTATTCGGACTATTCTCCTCATCTTTGTCACCATATTTATTACAACGTTTCGGCCATTGTACACTCCGGACTTCTTCAGGTGGTTGGAATGTCGACATTAACCCTTTATTTCGCTCACTGGGGTAGACTGTTGTAGTTCCACGTGCCATGTTTAATGGATGTCAATTTATCAGTTCTCACCAGTTAATTCCCCTCTGAAAGTTCTCCACTGCCTTAACTGGGTATTGAACTCGCACTCTTTGGGTCTTGTCACTGGATCAAACTAAAGCCTTTATCCACTGTGCCATGTGTCCTTGAATAATTAATTATAATAATTTAAACAATTTTGTCAAATTCAACTGGCAATGTCCTTCTGATTAATTTTTTTATTGTATCCTTCCAATTTTTGAATAAGTTGTTATACATGGATGTCTTTTGTTTTCTTTTACAGAAATTACTAGATTTGAATAATTTGCATGCAGTCATGGCAGTTATTTCTGCCCTCCAAAGTGCAGCCATTTTCAGATTATCTAAGACATGGATGGTAAGTAATTGCTCTTTCATTTTTCCATCTGCACATATGGTATATATGGGTTGTTGGTTGATTCAAGGATTGTAGGTGCATCAGTCCATTGCTAAAGATGCTGGACAAATGTTTGGCTGAATTTATCACTCCAGTGATAAATACTGTGCTTTAGTTTTGCAAGAGTCAGATCAAACCAAATCTGGGTTGGAGCTGCACAATCTTCATTTTTCAGCTTTGCCACGCTTGATCTTCACAAGAGTCAGATCAAGCCAAAATGAAGTATTGCTGCCATATCTGTGCTGGAGCTACATAATCCTCATTTTCCAGCTTTGATAGAGTCCTTCTGCCATGTTTCATCTTTGCAAGAGTCAGATCAGACCAAAATGGAGTATTGCTGTCATATTTGGGCAGCAATAAATGATAAGTCAAATTAAGTTCAATAAGGTCAAATTCATTTAAAAAATGATCTGCAATTTGTTGTTGTGGGGCAAAAAATGGCTTAATTTTAACGCATCCAAAACGAAACTGCTCTCTTCTAATTGTTTTAGAGAACTTTTTCCTTCTGCAATATGTCTAGATATTCTTGATAAAATACAAAGAATCTGCAATGTTATAGGCCCTGACCTAGCACCTCAGCTTCAGTCACTTTCCCACCACCATAATATAGCTTCACTGTAACTTTTCTATAAATATTTTCATGTTCTCTTCTGGTGATCTCTTTGGTACTTTGACTTTATGAATTTAATTGCAGTATGAGATTCTTGCTTGTGGAACTATTTTCAGGCTTCTTACTTTGTGACCCTCTCCCCTGTGTTGGTTTTCAGGTTCCTTCAGATCACTATGGTTACCATCTAGCTAACTCCTCACTCATATTAATGGTTCCACTTAATCTAGCTGGCATTTTTCTCCTTCATGATCCTTCACCCCTCTGCCATGAGAGTGAGAAAATTGCTGATGAAATAAATAGAACAGGTCGACACTGAGGAGCTACACACACACACACACACACACACACACACACACAAAAGAAGAATTCTTTGAAATAGAAAATCAACTTGGGTTAAAAATGTAACAACGATTTGGTTTATATGTGATATTTTTGTATACAGTAGTTTTAACCCTTCTCGCTTGTTGTTATAATCAAATGACATTGGGATCTCCTTTTGGAGTTTACAGCCTGTGTTAGTAGTAATTTAAATTTCTAAGTTCTGGTCTTCAAGGATTTGGTCAGGAAGTCTCAGTGAACGATGTGGATTTCAGTAGCAGTAATGTGGGGTCTCTTCAAGTTGCCCAAACCTCCAGCTATGTTCGACAGGTGTGAGGTTGGCCAGAGTCTGGAGTTCGGTTATCTTCCTCCCTTAGCATCTTTTTCTAAAATCCCATATTTTTACTGGTATAATTATCAAAATTTAGGGGTTGTCCAGACCCCCCTCCCCACTTTTGAGAGTGGTCAGAAGAATCAATTCGCTCCTTAGCTCTAACTCCCTTCACGTCTCATCTTGCACCATTGTTCTATAGGCAGTGCTAATCTCTCTCTCCCTTTCCCACTTTCTCAGTATCCAACCTCAGACCACTCCAAGTGCTGGTATACAATTTGTGATGCATCTAAACTTTTAGTAAGCATAGGCAAAAGAGGATTTTCAGTCATTAATCTTTCTTCATCAGTTTGTCTCATGCTGGTTGTTTTTAGGTGACATTTTGATTGACCAAACTACACAGATGTTTGCTTATGGTCACTCCAGGGCTAGTAATTAATTTTTTTTTTAACACTTGTATCCAAAGAATCCAAAATAACATTGACCATAAAAATTTTAACAAATATCACAGAAATTAAAATGAATGAACCCATCCCCAATCTCTCTTTTTTTTTTTTTTGTAGGGATATTTTTCTTCTGGTTGCTAATTCAAACCAGATGTTTTTCCTAGCTCATTTTCCAGAACAATTTTAGATGTTATTTCGGTGACCACCCATGTTCTTTATCGACAACATGTTTTCCTATTTTCCAGGACCAACATCTTTGATGATACATTAATTGTCTATTTCTTATTTGCGGGAAGTTGGGAAGAATGGGTAGTCTTGGTTTTGCTCAATCTTACTGAATTCTGTTTAGTTAAATTTGGGCTCAATTCTCCTTAGAACTATTCAGGATTTCATTTTATTATTTTGAAACAATTTTTCAATACATTTTGTTTTCAATTTTTTAAAGTTTTCAATCCACTTTCCTGTGAATTTAAACAAGTATCATTCAGTTAGTAGTCTCTTACCCCTTCCTATTTTTTTTCTTTCTTTCCTCCTCCTCCTCATTTTTTTTTTTTTTTTTTTTTTTGTTGTATAACTCCCTGGGGTCTCTGTTACAGCTTTCCATCCAACTTTGATCTTCAAAAATTTAAATGCAGTTTCAGTTGCTATTTTCTGTCTTAATTGTTCTCTCTCTTTAATAATGTTTTTCTTTTTATCATTCTTCCCAACTCAGTAAACCTCTTGCGTCTTAGTAGCTTTATTGCCTTGCTTGTCTCTAATTCACTAACAAAGAGAAAAAACTATTTGGCAAACATGGACTTATGCACCTGCAATAAGATATAGTATCAAAAGGATGTTTTAATTATTTTAGCTTTTAGAATGTTGTAAATATAAAATGATTCTTGTAAATAAACCAAAACCAAAACAGATGAGCCCCATATTAATATTTTTAGGATATCTTGTTATAAATATAAATTTGAAGATGTATTAGTTTTCACAGACTTATAAATTTTTTTTTACTTTTTTCTCATTCCTTATTTCTCTTTATTTCCTGTATTTTCAGATGCTGTCCAAAAAGGACAAATCTTCCTATGAAAAAATTGCAGATCTGTTTTCGGAGAACAACAATCGACAAAAATTAAGGGATTATATGGATCATGTCAAATTACCATGCATCCCTTATTTGGGTAAGAAGAAAATTTGTCTCTTCCGCATTATAGCAGTGATTGAAAGAAAAGTATGTAGGGTGTGGTCATCTTATTACACAACAGAGGTTCCATCAGTGAGCATGGATTGTGCAGATGTTTTTGGCTGATTCAAAAAATTCCCCAGATCTCACTCCTCGTAACTGTTTCCTCTTCCAAAATCAAATCCCACTTGAAAGGAACAACATTTCAAGACCTTGACATTGATAGTTTTTGATCAAATCTTGTGTATATGTGTGTACATGTATATGCACACACACACACACACACACAATAAATTAACTTATTTAAAAATATGGTTCCTTCGCTACACAGGAATTACCATGTTTCAAAAACCGAAGTTAAAAACTTCAAATTTAATTATATAGATAAATTAAAGGCCTTAGTTCTGTCTCATCTTCAACCGAATTTTGGAATAACTTATTTTTAAATTTAAAGAGTTTTAAAAGCACATACATTCATAATTTTTTTTGTTTCCAAGGATACAGAAAAATCCACTTATTTACACAGGGGCAGTAGCGTGTTCATTTTTATTAACTATTATTGCATCAATTATGAGTTACATTCGAAAAAGAGGTTATGTCTAGGTAGGGTAGGGGTGTATTTTTCAACAAATTATGACATCCGTTCAACACATGTTGTCTGTTTTTTTTATCAACGACAAAAAAGTTTTTCGGCATTTTTTTCCATTAAATTCGTACTTGTATTCATAAAGATTCTTTCCAAAAGGGGTGTTTGGATTAGAATATGTTATCAAAGAAACAGCTTACACAAAGATTTAATAGCAATGTTATCACCTGCTCCAAAATACATTTAACTCTCAATAAATAGCATAATTAAAAGAACATCTTTTGGCCTACATATATTTCATCTTAGTGTTTGCCTGTGTATGGAAAAAAAATTGCTCCTTGAAGATGACAATTTGAAATTGTTGCAAGTACTCAGCATATGTCTTCCACCTGACATCTACTCGAATATAAGGATCTCATTATTCAAAGAATTGATAGTAAGTTAATGTCTAATAAAATTCTGTTAGTGAAGTGATTTCACCATTAATCACATTAACACTATTTAATTCTTTGTATAAGTTGTTTCTTTATGATATAAAATATAAGCTGTGCACCCTGATATATATATATATATATATATACACACACATACATACTGGGGTTGTTAGAACTAATATTTATGTCATCCTGAAACAAATACCCACCACCGTTTGTACCAGAATTAGTAAATTATCATTCAAATATAATAATAAAAATAAAGTTATTCCAAAAGGCTCTCCAAAAACGTGGTTTCAAAAATAGGTCATCTTACTTAACCCCCATAAGTAATACTGAAACACCTAAAGTAGGATGTAGAAGAAAAATCATTTGCCCCCCCCTGCTGCAAACTGTCAAATATTAATATGGGACAGCACTTCCTAAAATTAATAAATAAACACTTCAACAAAAACAACACTAAGATCTTCAATAGGAGATCTGTCAAAATTAGCTACTACTGCACTAATAACGTACTAAATTATCAACTCCCATAACAATTATGTCTTAAGTAAATTCTATGGGGGAGCAAAAAAAACAAAAAACAAATCAAGTATGGAACCCCTTGTAAGTTTAGAGATAGGAAAAAACTGTTCAGTCGATGGCAAATGCAAGTCCACTAGGATAATATGCCAGGTAAAATTGCCCCCCCCACATGATAAATTATAATGTTAACATTGGAATTTCTGCGGGAGAATTAAAACAGAATTTATACCCATAGGCACTTGTTTACCAATCCTAAACTAAAATACCAAACGGCCCTTTATAAGAAATTTTGGGAATTGAAGGAAAAGTGTGTAAACCTGCAGATAGATGGGAAATTTATAGGTTTCGCACATACCCTCTAATAGTTTTAGAGATAGATGCAGGCAATGTTTAGAGGAAAAAATTAGAATAATTAAATACAATGATTAATGCAAACTATTAACCCAAAGTAGAGATCTATTATTAAAATGTAGGCACAGAAGCAGGTTCAAGCTTATATAAGAATATAGATCTTACCATCAATCACTAACTACTCAAAAAATAACAGCCAACCCCCATTGATATAACCCCCTCTGAGTAAATTTTTACTTTAATATCTTCCACTTAAAGAATTTTGGGTACAGCTCGGCATTCTTAACATTATAACCGAAACTTAATGATGGAAAGAAATGGTGTGTGTGTGTGTGTGTGTGTGTGTGTATATATATATATATTTGGTTGGATTGATGTGAGTTTGTGACCCTGGGTTTCACGCTTTTGTGATCGTCATCGTAAAAGCGTAAAACCCAAGGTCACAAAGTCACATCAATCCAACCAAATATATTAGCTCTATCTTTGATATTGAGCGCTTTCTAATAAGTATCTTGATATAATATATAAATAATTATATATATATATATATATATATATATATACACACACATATATATATATATATATATATATATATATATATATATGTGTGTGTTTTAAATCCACCACCACCTAATAATATAATCTACTAGCAGGAATGTAAATTCATTTTCATACAACTAAAGGCATTGGACATGAATAAACCCCCAACCCTGGCCCATCTCTTGGTCATCAACTCAGACTATCTAAACTGAGGTGTCTCCATACCTTTTTACAACACTATCTAAACTATATTCAAAAAACACCATTTCCAGATGGTCATTAGCTGAGGATAGCTGGTACATAGCAGTGGTAGTTTGAAATAGACTATACTCACATGAGGTAATTAGGGATTTTTTTGCTGTATAAAATATATATATATATATATATATATATGATGATCGATCTTAAAATACTTTATTTATTAACTATAATTTTTACAAGAAATGAATATGAGAGGAAAGCATTTTGCATGAGGTTTTATTTAAAATGGGTACCGGATTGCACTACCAACTTCTCAAGCTGCGCAGGAATCGTGAACTGATTTCACCATGAACCTTTGTAGTATAAGAGACATAACTTCTTGTATTTGCCTATCAAGTTCTTCCAAAGTCTTGGTTTGGTATTTCAATATATTAAACAACACACTGACAAAACAATAATGATAGTCTGTTTTTGTTGCATGAAAAATTTCAAAGCAACAACAAACTCGTGCATATGAGACGCAGAAGCAAAAATCGCACTGCAGCTCGTGACATCACACATGACCACACGAGAGTGAAAATGAGAAGTATTAAGTATGGGAAGCTGTTGGTATAAACCAATGGCTTCTGTTATCAATTATGGGCATTTAAGAATATTTGTGGAGATTTCATAGTTTATTTTGTTCAGGTTAGCTTATCAGACAATATGAAAGGAACTTACTTAAAATAAATACACAACTTGTCTATATTATTTAATGAAACATGCATCAACGAAAAATTGATGCCTAAGTACACTCTCTCTCTATCTATCTATCTATCTATATATATATATATATATATATATATATATATATATATATATATATATATACACACACACACACACACTACTGACCATGCTGATTTTTTCCCCCTCTAAATTTAAAAAAAATCAATCAAGTTTATGCCTTTAAATAATTAAATTTATTTTTTCTGTTTGCATACAATAATCTAAATCAAGATGAATATAAAATAATTATAATTTCACTTAAATCAAATTTATATTTTCTTTTCACCAAAGAATCCACTGTGACCAATTATTACTGCAGAACAAATTCTTGGTGTCCTTTAACTTGTAAAAGTCTGTTGGCGGAAGGGATTCCCAAGCAATGTGTAAAGGTGTAAACAACTGCTTATTCTTAGGCAGTTCACTTCAAACTTTATGATCAATTTCATCCCATACTAGTTCAATTAATGAAAGATCTGGAGACTGGTTGTTTGAGAGATTGCAAATCATGATTTGACCCTCATCAGGTGTTTTCAGCAATTGTGTGTGAAGCGGTACTGCAATATTGGATTGAAATTCATTTTCCAAAACTTAAAATGCCAAGAACTAAACAGATTAGTATCGAAAAAAAAGAGCCAAAGTGGAAATTCCTTCTGTAGAAAAAGGTATACTGAATATCAGATTGCTGGAATATTACAGGTATTAACAATTGGGGTAAATTATTGGCTGCAGTGCCATTCAGAAACTGGTGCAAAAGTTGGCAGAAAACGATCTGGGAGGCCCAGAGTAAAATCTATTGCAGAGGATCATGTCTTGCAAAATAAACAGAAGAAAAAAAGCTCCCCAACTACTGAATTTAATTCTACACATCAACATCCAATATCTGTTATGAGTTTTAAAAGAAGACTTCTTTCTGTTGGGCTTAAAGGATGTGTATAGGAAACCTCTCATAAAAAAAGGAAAATAAGTTGAAAAGACTAAAATGGGCATGACAGCACAAGGATTGAACTTTGGAAGATTGAAAAAAATCTGTCTATACTTCTGAGATGAGGTATTAGGTACACTATTTACATTATTCGGACTATTGTCCTCATCTTTGTCACCATATTTATTACAACGTTTCGGCCCTTCAGTATCTGTCTATATTTCTGAGATGAGGTATTATGTACACTCTTTACATTATTTGGACTATTGTTCTCATCTTTGTTGCCATATTTATCACAACGTTTCGGCCGTTGTACACTCTGGCCTTCTTCAAGGATACATGGCACAGTGGATAAAGGCATTAGTTAGATCCAGTGACAGGACCCAAAGAGTGTGAGTTCAATACCCGGTTGAGGCAGTGGAGAACTTTCAGAGGGAAATTAACAGGAGATAACTGATAACTGACATCCATTAAACATGGCATGTGGAACTAGAACAGTCTACCCCAGTGAGCGAAATAAAGGGTTCAGTTTGACATTCCAACCACCTGATGACGGCTGGAGCATACAACGGCTGAAACGTAATAAATATGACGGCAAAGATGAGGACAATAGTCAGAATAATGTAAATAATTGGAAAAAATATTTACAATGGACTAACGAGTTCAAATTTGAGCTTTTTGAAAGTAAATGAAGGATGTTTGTCAGATGAACTCCTTCCAAATGAATGAATGAAAATTGTATTGTGTCAATAGTTAAGCATGGTGGTGGCGTAATGGTTTGGGAATATTTTGGAGGTGAGATTGCTGGTGAATTTGTTGAAATTTAAGGCATTATGCGAAAGTAAGAAAAGATAATGATGTAAAACAACTCAAAACTGTACAAATTATCTAAAATGAAAGATAAGGGAATTTACAATTCCAAAATGGTTTGCCTACAAAACTCTGGAGTTGAGGTATTGAATATAATATCAATCAGTAAAGTGACAATTTTTATTTGCATTTATCTGATATATGTTAGTTATGTTTTGTGGATATCCATACTTGAGTAAATGTAAGTTTTTTTATTTTAGTTTCTCTTTCTCGAATAGTGATACTGACACCTACCTTCCTGACTAATCGAAATTCTTTTTTTTTCAATACTTAAATAGAATTTATTTTTATTTTATATATAAATGTTTAGATATAACATTTAATTCAAAATTTTTCAGTTCAAAATCTTAACACCTTAATGTAAGGGAGAAAACTCCAACCCTTTTTATTGTCATTCTTTTCCTGAGTATTTTCCCCTTAGCTTAATGTGTTTTTAACTCACTGTAGCATGTGTTGTATTTACAACATATGCTAATTGTTTTGTTTTTGGTGTTACCAAATTAATGAAAGAAATGATTCCAAAGTCGTGATTGCATAAGCAATGAGGAGAAGCATAGGAAGTCAATGGAAGTGTCAAGTCGCCAACAAAAGATGCTAAAAGCTTTTTAACGTTTATGTATTGCCTGATTACAGCTGACAAATCCGAGAGAAAGAACCAGCACCAGTCTCCTATAATTCTGTTTCTACCAAGAAATCCCAAATTGCAAAACTTCATTGCCCTCTTTCATAATGATTCAGCTGTTGTGCCCTACAGTCTTCTTTAGTTATCTGTCAATCCGCTTATGTGTTGTTATCACTAGCCTCTCTCAATCCAAGTCACCTTTGAACGGAACTGTTTAAAAATTGATATGGCAGCTCAATTCCAAAACAAAATAAACGAATTGCAGATTCATTGTCAAAGATCCCAATACTTGTAAACAGTCAGAATCCAATGCACAAGGCAACCGTCACTCACAAGCCGACAGACATAGAAAAATAAACCACCCCCAATTTGCAGATGCTAATCACTTTTATTGGCGGAATTATTTTTTCATTGGTCGATGGTTGTAGATGATAAGCAATATTAGGATATCTAAAATGCATTTATGGCAACATCTGCGACTGATTTGTTCCTATTTTGGTTATTTTGTCTTTGGCATATCATATAGAGCACACATGCCTCTTTTCTCAGTAAGTGACTCTCTCTTTTGCCACATAAATCCTTTTCTTAAACAGGGTGACAGTGTTCTCATCCTGCTGCTGTTAAAACTGAGATGAAACATCCCTAGACATGAACAGTTGAATGAGAACATTCTATTCTGTAGATTAAATAAAGTGTTCAGTTTGTTATGATGGGCCTGGTTTTACTCCTGTTTTAGTTAGTAAAATACAGTATATATTCTTCATAACATCAAAGTGAGACATTTATAAAACTAGAATTTTTTGGCAACACACTGACAGGTGTTGAAATTCTCACAGTATTTAGTATTGTTGAAGTTATTGCCAACATTTTTTTGTTCAGATTTACAAACTCTACGTTTTGTTCAATTTTGCAAATCAATCAATGAAATTTGAATAAGCTGATTTGTTTGGAAAAATACTTTGATAAGAAACCCTCAGGTGGTTTTTATGCAGCTGAGTAAAACCAACTGTACTTTGTACCCATTTACCTGTTTTGCAGTTCTCACCAAAATTTGGTTTTGATTGGTCAATGTATAGCTATTTTAGAGGGAGTGATGGACAACCAGACTAACAGAAGTCACTGAAATTTATATATAGATATAATCAGGATTTATTATCTGAAGGATTCTGTTGTACAAGTTTGGTGGAGTAAGAAAGTTCTTGTAATGTGGTTGCAAGTTAAATATTTCTGGTTTGTGTTTACGTTGGTAAATGGATTCTTTTGGAAATGATAAGTCTATCAGTGAAGTCTATATTTAACAAGAGAAAGTGAAGTTGACTTATCTGTGGTATTCATGTCTGGAGCTGCTCAATTTCATGTGCTCTCGTTGCAAGAGGCCAGCTGAAAAGAGGAAGGGCTCTAAATTTCTCACCAGTAGAACAGTGTTCTTTGTTCTTGGGAATCATCGGAATCTGAATTTTTTTTTTATATCATGTCACGTGATCGTGAGATCACTACAAATCTGAAGGTCAGAGGGCACAATGACCAAAATATGATTGTAACAAAAAAACAAAAACAAAAAACCAGGACAATAAGTTCAACTGTAAATAATTTTTTTTTAAATGATCACCCTGTGCCAAGCTCAAGAGCCACTCCTGGTAGAGAATTACTGAAGGAGGTTGTTGCAGGAGTGGTAAGAAGTGCAGTTTGAGGGTGTGTGTGTGTGTGTGAAAGATAACTGTTTACCCTAGACTTGAAGAAGTTAAGATTGTAGTGGTCAGGAAAGCATCCTCTTGGGAGTCGGTTCCACAAAGTAGTGGTTCGTTGGAAGCTGTTTGTGTGGAGCTTCTTTTTTTTTTTTTACTAATGGAACACAAGGGTAATGAGAAATCTTCTTATTCAAAAACTTTTAAAACTTTTTTGAGAGACCAAATTACAATAGACTAATCTTTTTTCTCTATCTCTTTATCCTATCTTCTAATTAAATAAGTTAAAGTCAAAGAGAATGATAAAAGTATCATTAGTAACACTATACTCGTTGCATAAACGTGTACAGCCATTAACAACTGAATGAAAAACGGCAAAACATCTTATAAATGTAAACAATGGAAAAGATGCATATATTCTATGTTTGTATTTTACTAATATGATACTAACATGCATTATTATTATTATTGGATACAGTTAAGTAAAACATTAGTTTTATCAAAATCATGTGTACTTTAAATAAAGCTGTACTTTTTGACTGCAGTAAATGGATATATGGTTTGGACAATGGCATAGCCAGGGCAAGCAGTACATACACTAATTTTATATCTCATGCATTATATGACCCCTTTAAAATTAGCTTAAAAATTAGTTTGTCAAAACTTGCATCATATGCAAGTATATAGGGTATTTAAATTTTCATGTTTGACAAACACTTTTTATAAATTTATGAATAAAAAATTTATTTTCATATTTATTTCTTTTTAAATTGAAAAAAGATAAACATTGCATTAGTTGGTTAAAATTTTTAGAATTTTGTAAATATAAAATTATTTTTGCAAATAAACAATCTTATAGTGTTTATTATTTTTGTTGTAAATTCTCAATAACAAAGAAAATGTATAAATTCACTTTCATATGTTTAGGGTTTCTATAATTTTAATCATTGTTTTTTAAAGCAATAAATATTGCTGAGGAGTTAAGGTAGTTAAAATAATAGTGGTGTCAAGGGAAAAACAATATAATAGATATAATATATAAACAATATAATAGTGTAAATAAACAATCTAATAGTGGTTATTATTTTTCTTGTCAATTCTCAAGAACAAAGAAAATATATAAATTCCCTTTCATATGTTTGGGGTTTATTAAAATTCTAATCATTGCCAAGGGAGTGAAGGTAGTTAAAATAATAGTGGTGTCAAGGCAAAAACTGTCTTTTTGACACACCATATTATTTTATCATTGCATTTGAAAGAAGTTGTTGCTTGTGATTTTTCCGTGTTTTATCTGAGATTTTTTTTTCTTTTTTACAGGTCTCTATTTGACAGATTTGATCTATATTGATGTTGCTCACCCTCACTCTGGTGGCTTGGAGAGTCAGCCACGACGGATACAAATGAACAACATCCTCAGAGTCATAGCAGACTTCCAACAGTCTAAATATGGTAAGTAGTATCACTTGTATAACCTTTTCGTGCTTGTTTACTGGTAAATACACAAATGTCCAGTGGTAGCATCTTTGTTTGTGTGAACTGATTCTTGAAATTATAAAAGCTTAGCAAACTGGTTGTTGGATTATCTGAAAATAATCTTATTTATTAATAGCTAGGTAAAATGTTAGTTATGCTACACTTGATCATGTGCCAAGTGAAACTCTAATAGACATACATCCACTACTGTTTTGAAGTTAAAAAAGTGGCAAATCTTCTAATCATAAATTTCATAGGTCTTCCATTGGATCTTTGGGACTGCAGCGATTCACTTCAAATGTGGCTAAGAAACCATAACACAGCTGATGACTTTAGAGTCAAAAAGCATCAGACTTCTGAACAGAAATATGAGAACAGAATTTCAATCTGGAAATATCTTCTATATAATAAATGCCAATGTCAGTGTGTCACACTTTTTTCAATTAAACGGACACAACTATCGATAGTTCATCTACTTCTATGTATGTCTATATTTCTGAGATGAGGTATTGTAATTATTTACATTATTCAGACTGTTGTTCTCATCTTTATTGCCATGTTCAATAAAATAAACGGTTCAGTTTGAAATTTCAGTCACCTGAAGAAGGCCAGAGTGTACAGCAGCTGAAACATTGTGAACATGGCAATAAAGATGAGGACAACAGTCCAAATTATGTAAATAATTTAAATAGCAGTAAGGGGGTTTTTACCCTAGAATACTAACCATAGGTATGTAGTACCCAGAGCAAATTTTCCTATTTTTAATTACAATTTTCAGTACCTGATTTTCTTACCTAAATAATGTTTTTCAGTTCCTATTAATGTTAACTTGAAGTACAAAATTTGAAGTGCCTGCATGTAAAATATTTCAAATAAAGATTTACATTTAATATTTTTTTTAATATTTTCAAAATCTGGTAATGTTCTAGGGTTAAGTATTAAGATCAACATGCCAGATTAGGCAATTTCTGGATTTTTTTGTACAATATCAATTTTTATAACTTGGAAATAAATTTTGGAATAATTGAAATTAATTTTGAAATCCAGTGAAAGTCAGTGAAATAAAAATAATTGTTTGCATGGAAAGTAAGGACCTACGTACATCAAATTGTCTTTAAATTAAGTGCTGGGGTAGAAGAATTATCATTGATTTTTTAAATGGTAAGCTTAAATATTAATGCAATACTTAAATGCAGTGGTCAATTTTGAGTTCTGTAGTTTCTTGTTTCCTATTACATACGGCAGCAGTATGCCTGACAAAAAAGAAATCACTACAGAGGACCAGATTGCAATCAAAAGAGCCAAGGCTGCAGTGAGGTAAAGAAAGTCCTGTGCAAATGAAAATCCAGATCAAATGGCAGCCAGGAGAGCCTTCCAATGCTGAGAATATGCAAAGACTTAATCAAGAGCCCTCCTCAGGAGCTAACCTAAATGCCGCCTGATAGGGTGGCTTTTAAGCTAGTAATAAATAAATGTTTTCTATTAAATTATTAAAATTGTTTAATTATTTTTGATACTAAAAAGGGATTTGTTTCCATTCTTAGATTGAAAAGAAAATAAGCAGAATAGGTTCTTAAAGATTACATGCCTTTATAGAAATGGTTCCTGGAAATTTAGGATGCCATCACTGCCAACATCCAATCACATGCATACAAGTCCCTTACACACACACACACACAACAATATATATATATATATATATATATATATATATATATATATATATATGCACACACCCTTCCAAAATAGGGGATGTATTAACAGTACTCATATATTCATACATTGTGTATTGTCAGTGGTCAGGAATGAATGCAATTATTACTGATAGAATAAGGCCATTATATGTATAATTGAAATGCATTGCTAATGAGTTTACTATAGGAATGCATTGAAAATGAGGAAGAAAGGGATTGTCAGTGGTCAGGAATGAATGCAAGTATTACTGATAGAATAGGGCTATTATATGTATAATGGAAATACATTGCTAATGATTTTACTATAGGAATGCATTGAAAATCAAGAAGAAAGGGATTGTCAGTGGTCAGGAATGAAGACATGACTAACAGTCATAAGAATTTTCACTAGCTTGTATGTGGAGATACTTTACCAAATAAAGTTAAAAAAAGATTAAAAAAAAATAGAATTTCTTGTTTAACAAATTGTTTCCTTTATCCATCATGACTTGAATGGCAGCAAATAGCTATTTTTTATTTTCTTCACTTTTATTTATTTATTTTGATGGGTGGCAGGATTTGAATATTTTAAGTGTTAAGCCTTTTCTGAATTTAAGAAAAGAAAATCTTTTCCCTTGGCTGTCATTTCAGAAAAATTATTGTGAACATATGAACTTTAATAATCAAATTTTATTTTTCTATCTCACCTTAAATATTTAGCATTTTCATAGAGAAAAGGACTAAAACTTAACAGGTCAAGCAAAGTCAGTGACCCCAAACAATATAAAAGAATACTGAGGTGAATGCTGGTGTATTAATGGGGTTTACAGTGAGGGTCATCTGATGTTACTACTGGTCAGCAAACAATGGAGAATAAAATGAAGTGATAATAATTAATAATAAGGAATATACGCATGATTATTTCAGACTACTTGCATTTTCACATTCATAGTTGTTGGCTTTCAATAGTGTTAAAGTGAAAACAAGATTCTACATGACTCTATAATAATAGCTTAAGAATGTGATCATTATTATTATTGTAACATAAATGACCAATTTTAAAGATGAAATTGGAAATCTTTATGGAGTTGTACAGTAGGCACTATGACTAGAAATAATCCCTTTTTTCAATTATTTTTTTAATATCTTTCTACAAACTAAGCACTCTAAATCATGAATAACTAAAAAGAAAAAAAAATGAATACCCTTATTCAGGCCAAATCAAATATGCAAATATAACTTGTTTACTTAAAATGTAAAAAAGAAAAAGGTGTTTCTCCATTTTTTTTTTTTTGTTTTGTTTTGGTTTTCATTGTTTTTATTGTATTCTATTGTTTTTGTTGTATTCTATTGTTTTTGTTGTATTCTATTGTTTTTGTTGTATTCTATTGTTTTTGTTGTATTCTATTGTTTTTGTTGTATTTTATTGTTTTTTATGTTTGTTTTTTGCATTGTTTTGTTTTTTGTCTTTTGTTTTTGCTGTTTTTGTTTTTGCTTGTTTTTGTTTTTTTTTTGTTTGTTTTTTTTGTTTGTTTTTTTGTGTTTTTTTTGTTTGTTTTTTGTTGCTTGTTTTTTGTTTGTTTGTTTTTTGTTGCTTGTTTTTTGTTTGTTTGTTTTTTTGTTTGTTTGTTTTTTGTTTGTTTTTTTTTGTTTGTTTTTTGTTTGTTTGTTTTTTTTTGTTTGTTTTTTGTTTGTTTGTTTTTTGTTTGTTTGTTTTTTGTTTGTTTTTTGTTTGTTTGTTTTTTGTTTGTTTGTTTGTTTGTTTTTTGTTTGTTTGTTTGTTTGTTTGTTTGTTTGTTTGTTGTTTGTTTGTTTGTTGTTTGTTTGTTTGTTTGTTGTTTGTTTTTTGTTTGTTTGTTTTTGCTGTTTTGGGGTTTTTTTTTGTTTTTTTGTTTGTTTATTGTTGTGGTAGTGATTTTTCTTTGTAATCTGGAGTATGTCATTGATGATTTAAAAAAAAATTTTTTTTTTTACATTTTAAGGAGTCACATATGAAACTATTTGTATGGGGTCAGGGTTCAATTTGCCAAGAATTTACATAGTAAGCTGGGTCTTCTCACCCCTTGTCACAAATCTTTTGATAATCATGGTCTGGCAGGCTTAATCTATAGTAATTGCTGTGTCTATTATAGGCCTTCCAAATTGGATGATCAACCACTTGTCATCACCTAGAAAAACACACACACAAAGAAATGATGATGGGTGGATAATATTGACTTCATTCAAACAAATTTTTATTATCAACTTCTCTTTTTACCAAAATGTTTTGCTGACTGCATCTTTTTTTGTCTTTCATTTGAATCTTCTGTCTACTTTTTTCAGTCTTTGGATATTCTCCAAGTAAGTCTGAAATCAATTTTCCTCTACCTTTTGCATGACAAAATTCACAAAATCTTTTCTCATAGTTTCAAAAGTTGGTGTTGTTTTTGTTGTTTTCCATTTGATCTTAATCTTCCTGATAATTCTTTCCTTTCAATAGTTACTCTTATTAATTTGTATTTCAGGTTGGGTAAAAAGTAATGTCACATTTTTGGAGGCAGAATAAGCACCTGGTGAAATGTAGTGTATAATCATTATTAGCAATACCAGAATTGAATTAACAAAAACTGAGAAACTTTTTCTGTTATTCCTTGTGGAAAGAATCTGGAATTATAGACAAAAAGAATTTGGATAATAATGGCACTTCTGATATTGACTGGTTTACTTTTTTCTTTTTCTTGCTCTCTCTCTTGCTCTCCTTTTTCTCTCTCTCTTTTCTTTCTCTTCTCTCTTTTTTTCTCTCTCTCTCCTTTTTCTTGCTCTCTCTCTTTCTCTCCTTTTCTTTTTTCTTCTCTCTCTCTCTCCTTTTTCTTGCTCTCTCTCTCTCCTTTTTCTTGCTCTCTCTCTCTCTCCTTTTTCTTGCTCTCTCTCTCCTTTTTCTTGCTCTCTCTCTCTCGCTCTCCTTTTTCTTGCTCTCTCTCTCGCTCTGTGTCCTTTGGTTTAAATTCTGAAAATTTTTTTTACTTCCCAAAATGTGACATTAATTTCTGAACAACCTAATATATAAAATGATTAATTTAGAAATGCATGTTTTTCCAATGATCTTTGTTTTTGTTGTTCAGGAAAATTAGCTGCAAATAGAAATCAAGTTAGTTTTTGAATGTGTGGATTTCTTTTTGAAAAGGATGTTTACCCTTGTAATTCTTGTGATTCACAGGAGCTCTAACTCTGTTGTTAATCTTTAATCTGATTAATCCAATTAAATTTTTTTTTCTCTTTCACTTCGCCATTAATATAGACTAGTGGTTCCTTTTTTGTGTCATCACCCACTTTCACATGAAAAAATATTCCACGACTCACCTGTATAGTAAATATTTAAAAGCATACCAAAACTGTTTAAGTTTGTTACTGGTTCGTAAACTGACTTTGATGTAGTCAGAAATACAAAAGGGAGGTGAGAAATAATGCTGACTTGTGCGGTGACTGCTCTGACCATATTAACCCTAGAACACTAACCATGGGTATATAGTACCCAACGCATATTTTCTTATTTTTAATTAGTTTTCGGTACCTGATTTTCTTACCTAAATAATGTTTTTCAGTTCTTATTAATTTTAACTCAAAGTACGAAGTTTGAAGTGCCTGCATGTAAAATATTTCAAATAAATATTTATATTTAATATTTTTTTTGATATTTTCAAAATCGGGTATTATATACCCATGGTTAGTAGTGGTGTAACTTTAATTGATCATTAGTGTTCTAGGGTTAAAGAACAAATGAAAGCAAACTTGACTATTGAAAACTATAGAGAATTTAATTTTATGGTTAGTGTTACAAGTATTGACAAAAAAATAAACAATTTTATTCATAATTTTAAAATTAAAAGGAATATGCACAACTAGTATCTAAAAAAAAAAAAAAAAATTTCAGTAAATACTTTTTGTTCTTCTCTTCTGATTTATATCTGAAAAAAAAATGTTATTTCATCTGAAGAACTATTTGAATGCCAATGACCCTTCTCAAAACTATAGAAAATTAGAAAATACAAAAAATATTTGTTGTTTGTGGGGATAATTATATCTTATCTAGGAATGTAACTCATTTATTCATATTTAGACTCGTGTTTTTTGGTGGTTTTTTTATACGTGTTCTTTGCTTATTATCTTTGATTATTTTTTTTTCAAGTAACATATGTTGAAATACCGGTATAACCTTTATCTAGCTGGAGACAAAAATTGTTTCTCTAGAATTATCTCCCTTTGCTGCTCTAGGCACATTCTGCCAACTTGAGAGGGTTGCTATAAATAAGCACTTGTCAACCGTTATTTCTGGTATTTTAAGCTGGAAATAGCCTACTACTGCTTTGGAATGAGGCTAAACCTACATTTTCCAATGCCATTTTGAATTTGTCTATAATCTACACGAGGTGTAATATTGATTAAATCCACATTAATTTGTCACAGTTTTTTGTAAACCAAAATGGCTGCATTAACATCTAACAAAGCCTTTATTCGGGAGTTTTTCTTTGATTTTGACTCTGATAAAGATTTTGAAGGCTTTATTCAAGTGGATATTGATGGTGAAGTGTTCTGAGATGAAGATAACAATGCTAGTGACAAGGAGGAAATCTATGATGACTACTAGATGCCAAGTGGCTACTATCATCCATGGTTGATGAATTTTATGGAAACTACTGATCCTATAGATGTACCTGATAGTTTTTCTGAAAGTGAATTATTTTTTCTATTTATAAATGACAAAATAATAGCCTTATTTGTCAAAGAGACAAAGAAATATGCTAGTCGAGTGAAAGAATGAGCAAAAAAATGCTGGTGTCTATTTATATGCAAACACTAGGAAAGATGTCACTTTTAACAAAATGAAAGACTTTTTAGCTATTTTGCTTCTTATTGCATTCCAGAACTCTACAAGTGAAATTCTTACCTGTAGGCTTGTGATGTCCATCTTCTCCATGGTTTACATAGCAACTGGCATGAGTATATGTCTTACCTCTAGGCATGATAAATAGCAACTGGCATTCATCACTCTATGACTTGATGTCACTGTCATGTGACTCTTGTGAGTTGATGTCACTGTCGTGTGACTTGATGTCACTGTCGTGTGACTTGATGTCACTGTCGTGTGAGTTGATGTCACTGTCGTGTGACTTGATGTCACTGTCGTGTGACTTGATGTCACTGTCGTGTGACTTGATGTCACTGTCGTGTGACTCTTGTGACTTGATGTCACTGTCGTGTGACTCTTGTGACTTGATGTCACTGTCGTGTGACTCTTGTGACTTCATCTTCAGTAAAAAGAGATAATTGCTTTTTGCATCCCTACATATATGTTTATTCCTTATACATACTGCATATAAACCAAAGAATTTTTTTTTTAATCATTTCACCCCATGCAAGGAGGGAATGCTACTAGCACACAAAAGGTTATAGAGTGAAAGTGAGAGAAAAGACTGGATATAGGGAGGATTGAGGAAAGGATGAAAGCTGAATAGGATTCAAGAAGATAGATGACGATTGACATTGCATTTTAATTTTTGAAGATTGTAGTTATCATGGAAGCAAGGAAGTTCCACAGGTGAGAAGTATGAGAAAAGAAATTGTTGGAGTAGAAGTTGCAGTTATATTTAATTATTTCAACAGTAAAAGGGTGGTATCTAGATGCCAATCTAATAGTACGCTTAAATTCATGTAGTTGTCTCATGTGAGAAAGTGACTGAAGTTGAGGTGCCAAATCAAGATTAATTACATTGCAGATCCTGCTTTGGATTTTGTCAAGAACCTGCAGACGAATAGCAGGAGCACCAGACCAGATATGGCAGTAGTATTCAATGCAGAGACACATGTTAGATTTTTAAATGTGCAAGATGGACTTTGATGAGAAAAACCTTCTGGCACAACACAGTGACCCAACTTTCCTTGCAGTAGATGCAGTTATTTCACTGTTCGTGATACTGTCTTTTATTGGAAATATCAATGAAGTTATCAAAAGTTTTCTTCATTATTATTTTTTTTACCTTTTCTAAACATTTTAAGCATGTATATTTATATATATTTATATATAGAAAAAGTTGCAAATTAAAAAAATAATGTTTTTTTATGAAAGTATCTATATATATTTAATATTTCAGATTGGCCTCAATCTTTCTTCAGAAATAACTGTTTTTATTTCTGAAGAAAGATTGAAGTCGATCTGAAATATCAAATACATATATAAATAAATAAATACTTTCATAAAAAAACATTATTTTTTTGATTTGCAACTTTTCCTATATATACATATTAAGAAAGTCTACGTGGCTTCTCATTATGCTATATATATTATTTAAATATATTTATAATATATATTTATATATTATTTAAATATATTTATATATAGGTATATTTTTTGTTTGTTTTAAAAAATTCCCTACAACAACATTAAAATCACTTTTTGTACATTTGTTGTTAAACCTTTTGGCAATCTTTATCTTCATCCCCACAAACAAAATGGTTTGACAAGAAGACAATTTTTCCTTTGACACCACTATTATTTTAACTACCTTCACTCCTCAACAATGTTATATTTTTTTAAAAAGCGATGATTAGAATTGCAGTAAAACCTAAACAATTGTTTGTTTACAAGAATAATTTTATATTTACAACGTTCTAAAAATTAATACAAAATCTTTTTTAATGGTAAGGTTCACCCTGAATAAGGCCTGGGAGCCACTCAAGTTAGAGGGTTACAATAAGGGCTAGTTTGTATGGATAGGAGTGGGAAGATATTGGTTGACTCTAAACTTGAACAGGTTAAAATTTTAGTGATTTGGGAAACATCCTCTAGGGAGTCTGTTCTATAGGGTAGTGGTCTGTAGGAAGAAGCTGTTTGAGTAGAACTTCTTGTCAGCAGAATCTGGAGGTAATGTGGCTGGTTTGGTACTATATAAGTGGCATGGCAAGTCTAAGCTGTGAAGGTCATATCTGTTGGAACCAGGAGATGCAGTTCGTCCAAGCATTTTCCATGGTAGTAGCAATAGAGCAGTGAGTGGCTCTCTACATCTCTGCCTGTGAGAGAGAGAGAGGTTGGAGGGTTGAAAATGATTCTTCTCTCACAAGGACTCTGAGACACTTTTGAACTCTATCAGTATTTTTGGCCTGGTCTGCCTCTTATAAAGATACTTATATTAAAACTAATGCAATATTTATCATTTACCAATTTATTAAAAAAAATAAGTATGAAAATATTTTTTATTCATAAATTTATAAACATTTACTAAATGTTTGAAATATGTGAACCAACTATAAGGAAATCCTTATTATTTACTATTTTATAAAGTTTGAATCAATTGGTAATTAGCCAG